GTGCTATGATTTGGCCTAAATCCAGACTGAAAATGATCGAGTAGTGAATGTTCCAGTAAATGATGTGAGAGTTGAGCATGTACCACTTTTTCAATAACCTTTGATAAAAAAAGAAGTTTGGAGATTGGACGGAAACTTGCATAATCATTTTGATCCAGGCCAGGTTTTTTCAATAGCGGTTGGACGACCGCCTTCTTAAAGGATTCTGGAAACACTCCCGATGACAAACTGAAATTTAAAATACTCAAAATAAAAGGACCCACTACTGGCAGAGCCCCAAGTAGCAGCATTGGGGGGAGAGCATCCAGTGGGGACCCTGAGGGTTTCATGGACTTGATTAATTTATCCAGATCTTGAAGGGAGACAGGATCAAAATCAGAGAATGGAGGAGAACAGTGATTCTTTCTGGGTAACAGGTCCCAACAGATTCTGTCTAATAGTACTGAATTTTTCCAGGACAAAATTCTGAAAATCAGTGCAAAGTGCTTTGGTTGGTGTGGAGGGGGCGGTGGATTCCTTTAGTGAAAGAACAGAGTTAATGGTACTGAAAAGCTGGCGTTGATCACCACGATGCCTCTCAATGATGTTGGCAAAATAATTATTTTTAGCTGATCTGACAGCTTTTTGGTAAGCTGCCATGGAGTCTTTCAGCATTTGTTGGGAAATTTGTAGCATGTCCTTTTTCCATTTTCGTTCATGTGTCCTACACTGGCATCTGAGAGCATGAGTGTTGTCATTTAACCAGGGATCAGAGATGGTCTTTTTTTGCCTGAGTTTTAGCGGTGCAACAGAGTCAAGGGCAACAGAACAAGCCATATTGAAGGAGTCCACCAAACCATCTACCCCCACCGATGTAGATGGGGAAAAAGATGTCAAAAGGCCAGCCTCCAGGCTAGATGACAGCATAACAGAGGACGAGGGAGCAATATACCAAGCATAATGTTTAGCTTGATGCCTTGTAGGGAGAGATGCTAGGTTTGAGATATTAAAAATGATTGGAAAATGATCAGAGATACAAACCTGATCTACAAATAAATCAGAAACACAGAGTCCAAACGATAAAACTAAGTCCAGTGTATGGGACCGTTCATGGGTAGGATCTTTGACCAGTTGCTGCAGATCAAATTAATCTAAAATGTCCAAAAACTGCTTTACCAAGGGCTTTGTGGGACAGCAGATATGAATGTTAAAATCACCAAGGATAATCCCTCTTTCATATTTTGGGAGGAAATCAGCTAAAAAGTCTGAAAATTCATTTAGAAAGACTGAGTTATATTTAGGTGGACGATAACAGAGAGCACAGAGTACAGGTGGGCAGCAGGCTAATTCAAACACTGACAGCTCAAAACTGGAGGAAGTCACAAAACCAGAGAGTGGTTTCAGAGGGAGAAAGGAGCTGTATAAAGTCAGCAAACCCCCACCAAGACCAGAGGGTCTAGGCTCGTTTAAGACTAGGCATTCAGGAGGACAAAGTTCTGATAGAGGGGCCGACTCACCAGGCTGGACCCAGGTTTCAGTCATGAAGAACAGGTTTATTGACTGGTCGATGAAATAGTCTTTCAAAAAAGCCGTTTTATTCCCAATCGATCGGACATTCATGAGAGCATGAGACATTCATGTCGGTGTGAATATGTCTGAGTTTATCACTCTTAACCTTAACTCTTTATCACTCTTATTGAAATGTCATTGGTTTATTTTGTTATTATGGTTTCATTCACTCCTGCATGAACCCTGAGTTGATGACTCATCCAGGACCATTGAGCTAGATATCAGTGTGTCTTACTCAGCAAAAGGTTCCTAAAAGCTAAAGATCTCTGGTTTTGCTAAGCTCTGAGTGTTCTACCGTGTGTATGTGCAGTACTGCTGGTTCTATACATGATGAGCAATATTTTTTCCTGTAACAATTTCTGTAACACCAGTATGTGCACCATCTGTGTTTAGAGTGACTGGGTGTGTAATTCACATCTTCAGACTTTTCCACATTTCATTTATGTCCAGATAAAGATCACTGAGTTTTTTTTCTGCTTTAAAGAGGTCCTGGAAAAATGATTTTTTTTTTCAATTGGAAACTGTTCTTTGAGCCTCAGTATAGGTTATGAAACATTGTTGGGGCTCACAATGGCCAAGGAGCCCAGATAAACGACCAACTGCAACACCAGACTGGTTTACCTAGCCCACTCGGCCAGAATAAGAATATCATATGAGCTGTGTGCTGATTGGCCAGTTTACCTTCCGAAAGCTAGAAACTTTGTGTACAGCTATGAATAGTTAGCCTAGCAAGCCATGCTAGGACTTCTCTTCAGCGTTTAACACCCTGCAACCTCACATCCTGGCTGGCAAACTCGCTTCTCTTTTTCACCTGGATGATCAGATAATCCTATGGATCCTGGATTTCTTAACTAACAGATCACAAAGAGTGCTGGTTAACAACACTCTCTCAGACCTTCTTTACACCTCCACTGGCACCCCACAAGGCTGTGTGTTGTCTCCTCTACTCTTCGTTCTCTACACAGATGACTGTAGATCCATCCAGCCTGACAGTTATATGGTAAAATATGCTGATGACAC